TTTATTAAAAAATCAATCAATTCATTTTGTTGAAACAAATGATTTAGCAATGTCTCTAACATGTTCTTGTCTACTTTCATCTCCATATTTTCTTTCAAATTCTAAGTATTTAGTTAAGAATGTTTTCATTGTCTTTGTACTTAGTTTTTGTTTAACTATTCGTTCAAATATTCTTCTTATTACTCCTACATCTCCTACTTCTTTCTCCATATCAATATAAATATTCCAAACATCATGTCGTTTTGGATTGTTTGTTAAAATATCTTCAAACATTGACCTTCCTTTATCAACTGATCCATATTTATATTCTAATCGGGCAATATGAATTTCTAAACTTATCATTTTCTTTTTATCTAATGTTGTTTTTGCTTTGCTTAATGTGTTTTTGATTTCTTCTTCTCTGTTGTTTCTCATTAGGAAATTACAGTATTTCTTATATACTTTACAACTGCCTTTAACTTTCTTAAATAATGTTCTGAAGATTTTCTCTTCTTCTTCTACCTCTTTCTTTTCTTTGTAAATGTGAATCATATGAAGCATGATTTTCTTCCTATCACATACCTCTAATGCCTCATTATATACTTTCTTTAAACTCTTTTCATCTCCATGATTAGCTTCTAATTGCATTAATGCTTTCCAAATATTTAATTTCTCTTCTAATTTTCTAAAATTGATACTTTCTATTCCTGTCTTTCCTACTTTTCTTGCTTCATCTATTTCTTTTCTTTGAATGAAACATTGCATTAATTTAATCCATTCTATTGAATTATCTGGGTCTTTTTCAACTCCTTTTTGACATTCATCTAAATCTAATACAATTTCTTCACTTTCCTCTTCTTCTTCCATACTTCCTTCTTCTTTATCTTCTTCTTCCATATTTTCTTCTTCTTTATCTTCTTCCATACTTCCTTCTTCTTTATTATTATCTTTACCTTCTTCTATTTCTTCTTCCTCTTCCATAGTAGTATTTTCATGTTTTTCTTCTTCTTTAGTAGGATCATCCCATTCTATGTTAGCCTCATCTTCTACTCCTTCTTTAAATTCTTCATCTTTCATTTCTTCTTTAATTGCAATATCTTTTTCTTCATTTCTTCTTTTTTGTTCTTTTCTTTTTAATGCTAATTTCCATGGATCAATAGCTATTGTTTCTTCTTCATCTTTCATTTCTACTTCTCCTACATCTTCTGGTTTGATACTAAAATTAACTCGATGTTTCTTCTTGTCAATATGAACTACTTTTGCCATTATGACATCTT